AAGAAAGAAAGAAAGAAAGAAAGAAAGAAAGAAAGAAAGAAAGAAAGAAAGAAAATAAGAAAGAAAATAAGAAAGAAAGAAAGAAAGAAAGAAAGAACGGTTGGAGGATTTGAGTCTGGCTAGTCAAAAAGAAAAGAAGAATTAGGGGTGACATATTCCAGTATTTGAAGGGCTGCCCCAAAGAAGAGGGAGTCAAATTATTCTCCAAAGCACCAGAAGGCAGGACAAAAAGCAACAGATGGAAACGAATCAAGGAGAGAAGCAACCTGGAAATTAAGGAGAAATTTTCTGACAGTGAGAACAATTAACCAGTGGAACAGGTTGCCTCCAGATGTTAGAGGTGTTCCATCCCTGAAGACTTTTAAGAAGAGATTGGACAGCCATGTGTCTGAAATGGTATAGAGTTTCCTGCCTGAGCAGAGGGTCAGACTAGAAGACCTCCAAGGACCCTTCCAACTCCGCTATTCTATATTCTAAAACCCAGCTGTGCATCGCCAGGAAATATTCGCCCCATCGTCTGGGCCTGCAACCTTAAACACTCAAAGAGCCATTTGGACTCCTTTCCCACAGAAAAAAAAAACACCGGGAGTCACAAAAACCCTTCCCGTGACTGACTATTTCTTGAGCGGCCACAAAAGTAGCATATGTCGTTGAATTAAATGTTCTCTTTTCTTCTGAAACTTTTCTTTTCTTGGATTTATCCATGGTTGGCCTACTGGGGGTGGGGTTGAAAAGCTCAATAAATTGTGTGCCGGCGGGTGTCGCACATTGGCGGTTGTGATGTATAGTTTGAGTGACAGGGAGCCGCAGCAGAGGGGTGAAAGAGCCACATGCGGCTCCCGAGCCGCAGGTTGCTGACCTCTGCTCTGGGCAATGCCCAGCTTGCTAAAACTGCTACCGAAATGCTGAGAAAAAGCAGGATGCCTTAACATTAGCTTGCAAAGGTGGCCCGTTAAATCAGTTTACGACTCAGGTAGGATTCTGCAAAAGGGACGGAGGGGATCCCACCAAAGCTGGGCTGGATTGAGACTGGCCAAACTCAACCTTCCTCCTCCCAAATAGACACCGAAAGCCCAAGGGAAGGCAAGAATCTCTGGTCCTGCCTCCACCCTTTTTCTGGCCAGGGTCCCTTTTGGGTGAGCTTTAAAAGATTGAGTTGGAAGGGACCTTGGAGGTCATCTAGTCCAACCCCCCCCGTCCAAGCAAACCCTGACACCCAGTCAACAAAGCCATCAGGTCCAAGCCCAGCAAGCCACAGACTGGGACTCTGGCAAATGACTGGGGGAATCCCCTCCGCCCCATATCCCACCCCTCCATCCTCCCCAGCCCCCACCCCATGTCCCGTCTGAGTAAGGAACCCCTCCGCCTGGCCTGATCTGGATCCTGCTGGTGTTCAGCTGGGCATCGCTCAGGACAGCTGGCATAGAGGCAGGTGGGACCCCATAAGAGTGATCAGCCTGGCCTCTCCTCTCTCCCTCCAGACCTCTATGTGTCCACTACTCTAACGCTCTCTACATGGGGCTCCCCTTGAGGAGCACCCGGAGGCTCTAACTGGTCCAGAATGCGACCACGCGGGTGGTTATGGGAGCAACATGGCGCTCCCGTGTGACACCTCTCCTGCGCGAGCTGCACTGGCTCCCGGTGGTCTTCCGGGTGCGCTTCAAGGTTTTGGTCACCACCTTTAGAGCGCTCCATGGCTTAGGGTCAGGGTATTTACGGGACCGCCTTCTGCTACCAATAGCCTCTCACCGACCAGTACGCTGTCATGGAGAGGGGCTCCTCCGGGTGCCGTCAGCTAAACAATGTCGACTGGCGGCCCCCAGGGGGAGAGCCTTCTCTGTGGGGGCACCCGCTATCTGGAACGAGCTCCCCCCGGAGATTCGGAGGATCCCAGATCTGCGCACTTTCCACCGTGCTCTTAAGACCCTCCTATTCCAGCAAGCCGGCCTGGCCTAATTTTCTCCCCGGTTTGGTCCGGTTCGGTCGAGCCAGTAGCGATGACGAAATGACGTCACCGAACCGGTTCTCCCCCCACCCACCCACCAACGTTATTCTTACCTTTTATTTGGTCCCACCCCCAATCTATTGCTGCCTCCTGAGTCCCAGCTGAGTCCCAACTGTTTAAACTCTTGCGGTGGGGCTTCAAAGGGCCGCCCTACAGCTGATCAGTGTTAAAAGCAAACAAATGAGTTGGGTCGTAAGTGCGAGGACTGGTCGTAAGTGCGAGGACCTTCCAGAAATGACTCTGACCAGCTAGCCACGCCCACCTAGTCACATGACCTCCAAGCCACACCCACAAAATAAGCCACGCCCACAGAACCGGTAGTAAAAAAATCTAGAACCCACCCCTGAAACAAACAAACATAAAACACACCTGGATAGCAGGCATCTGGTGCTTGCTCCCCACCCCCGGGAGGGGCTCCTGGCTGGCCATCCGCACTGCCTGTGATGCCCAGGAGAGTGGGGGGGGTTGCCTGGCCTTGCCCCTGACTGATGTCCCCCCACCCTTCAGAGAAGAGGCGGCCCGGGTTGGCTGGGGAGGGGGCTGCGGATGGGGGGGATGCCTGCCTTGCTCTCCTCCAGCCACATTACGGGTGCAGACTCCCTTCAAGCCCTCATTAGCACCCCTGCTCCGTTGTCTCTCCCCTTCCTCCGCCACCTTCATGAGGGCTTGAAACTTGTCAACCAGCTGCAAAAATCCGTTCAGCCGGTTGGAGCTGCTGGACTGGGCTTGCAAGAAGGACAGCAAAACCTCCTGCCTCCTCCAGCTGTACATGAAGATTGTGGGGAAAAAGCCACAGGTGGAGCTGACTACAATGATTTTCCCTTGCCTCTTTCCTGGGGCTGTGAGGGAGTGGCTGGCCCAAGGTCGCCCAGCTGGCTTTGTGCCCAACTCAGGGTCCCTCCCTGATGTCTTAATCATTTATGCCAACCTGGCTCTCTGGTCATATCCCTCCAAGCCACTTAATTAACCAGGTTACTTCAGCCATGGCCGTTTGCATTCACGCTCCTGAATTGTAACCATGGTTTGTTGAGCCTGTGAAGAGTCGGCCAATTTGTGGGAAATCCGAAGCACGTTCGTTCAGTGAAGACCAGCTCATCCCTGAAATAAGCCAGGAACACTTTTCTTCCTGCAAGCACCACGTTCACACAACAAACCTTGGTAGTACAGTGGTCTAAGGCACCCTGTTATTAAGCTGGTTATTAAGACCAGCTGCCTGCAAATTACTGCAGGTTTGAATCTCACCAGGCTCAAGGTTGACTCAGCCTTCCATCCTTTCTAAGGTAGGTAAATTGAGGACCCAGTTTGTGGGGGGCAATAAGCTGACTTTGTATAAATATACAAAAGGATGAAGGCTATTGCTTAACACACTGTAAGCCGCCCTGAGTCTCCGGAGAAGGGCGGCATATAAATCAAATAAAAAGAAAAGAAAAGAAAGAGAAAGAAAGAGAAAGAAGGAAGGAAGGAAGGAAGGAAGGAAAGAAAGAAAGAAAGAAAGAAAGAAAGAAAGAAAGAAAGAAAGAAAGAAAAGCTGACTTTGTATAAATATACAAAAGGATGAAGGCTATTGCTTAACACACTGTAAGCCACCCTGAGTCTCTGGAGAAGGGCGGCATATAAATCAAATAAAAAGAAAAGAAAAGAAAGAGAAAGAAAGAGAAAGAAGGAAGGAAGGAAGGAAGGAAGGAAGGAAGAAAGAAAGAAAGAAAGAAAGAAAGAAAGAAAGAAAGAAAGAAAGAAAGAAAGAAAGAAAGAAAGAAAGGAAGCTGACTTTGTATAAATATACAAAAGGATGAAGGCTATTGCTTAACACACTGTAAGCCGCCCTGAGTCTCCGGAGAAGGGCGGCATATAAATCAAATAAAAAGAAAAGAAAAGAAAGAGAAAGAAAGAGAAAGAAGGAAGGAAGGAAGGAAGGAAGGAAGGAAGGAAAGAAAGAAAGAAAGAAAGAAAGAAAGAAAGAAAGAAAGAAAGAAAGAAAAGCTGACTTTGTATAAATATACAAAAGGATGAAGGCTATTGCTTAACACACTGTAAGCCGCCCTGAGTCTCCGGAGAAGGGCGGCATATAAATCAAATAAAAAGAAAAGAAAAGAAAGAGAAAGAAAGAGAAAGAAGGAAGGAAGGAAGGAAGGAAGGAAGGAAGGAAAGAAAGAAAGAAAGAAAGAAAGAAAGAAAGAAAGAAAGAAAGAAAGAAAGAAAGAAAGAAAGAAAGAAAAGCTGACTTTGTATAAATATACAAAAGGATGAAGGCTATTGCTTAACACATTGTAAGCCGCCCTGAGTCTCCGGAGAAGGGCGGCATATAAATCAAATTTTAAAAAAAACAACAAAAAAAACCAGGCTAGGAAATGCACCGTTTTTTGCTAAACCTGGTTAGGCTCTTTTGCACCGGAGTAGGTTTGTGCAACCCCCCCAACCCAACCCACTTCCCAAAAGTGGGTTTAATTCCCCACCCTGATTAAGAACGCAACGTTGGTCCCCTGGTTAGGTTCATTCAACTCAACTCTTAAATTGTGGGCAATGCCAGCTTGAGAGGTTGCCCAGATTGTTTAAAGCCACTAGAGGAATGCCTGGATGCTGTGAAGGAGGCCCATTCGGACAGATTATATACACCACACACGGCCCAGGAAAGAGGCTCCCTTCTTCGCAATCCAAGTTAAGGAGACCCCCCAAACCTACATGACCCATGCCATGATGGTTAAAGAAGCTTGGCTCACCCTGCTCAATTCTGTAGGTGGGGTGAGGGGAGAGAAGCATTACCTCCCCCAAAGAGAAGAAATGCTTGCGCTGCTTTAGCGCCTGCTTCACACAACCCCTTAAACCACGATGGAGGAAATCTGGCAAGCCAGTACGCGGATGAGGGCTCCCCCCCCCAGCCCCATTTCCTCTGCCCTAAAGGGATCCCTCCCTCTGGGATGCCTCAATGCCCAGGAAAGGAGGTGCCAGCACTGGTGTGGCTCAAGCCCACTCCCCTCAATTCCCTCCCGTGCCTCACCTGGATTGCAGGCGCCCGCTTGCTGCCCCCCAGAAGGGCTCCTGCCCGTCCATCCGCCCTGCCAGGGTGAAGGCTGGTCTGAGTGGGGGCTCCCCCTCATCCCTGACGTCAGAGCCCCTCCCCTGCCCCGCCTCAGAGGAGAGGCTTGGCCAGATCAGCTGTTTGAGGGGGAGGGGGTGTCTGCCTTGCCTTCCTTCCTTCCTTCCCTCCTCCGCTGCCTTCATGAGGACTTGAAACTCATCCTTGCCCAAGATCGAGGCTTTCCTGCTGCCTCACAGGAAAGCTGCAAACAGCCAGCTGCAAACAGCTGCAAAACTGCCACTCAGCCAAGTCAGAATTGCTTGGTCTGCAGAGGCTACAGGTGGAGGCGACCTGGAGACCCTGGCAATTTGGGGAGGGGGTTGCCACTGCATCCTTCCTAAGCGCTCGGACAGGATGGGCCCAGGGGTTTGATGCAGGGCCCGTCGTAACAGCATGATGGGCCCCGCCGGGCAGCGTATTGGGGCCCCTACACAATGACTCACAGGCATAGAAAATGTAAACGGTCGATAACATTAAACCAATATTGGCACGTATTAATTTAAAAATGCAGTAAAATGTAATATAGGTTGCAGTGTTTATATGATACAAGGTGCATTGAAGGGTTAACCTACATCGATGAGTATGGGGCAGTGGTGGAATTCAATTTTTTTTTTTTTACTACCGGTTCTGTGGAGGTGGTGTGGCAGGGTGGCCATGGCAGGGGAAGGATACTGTAAAATCTCCATTCCCTCCCCACTCCTGGGGGAAATATATTGCAACATCCCCATTCCCTCCCCACTCCTGGGGGAAGGATATTGCAAAATCTCCATTCCCTCCCCACTCCTGGGGGAAGGATACCGCAAAATCTCCATTCCCCCCCCACACCAGGGGCAGGATACTGCAAAATCTCCATTTCCACCCCACTCCTGGGGGAAGGATATTGCAAAATCCCCATTTCCACCCCACTCCAGGGGAAGGATACTGCAAAATCCCCATTCCCACCCCACTCCAGGGGAAGGATATTGCAAAATCCCCATTCCCTCCCCACTCCTGGGGGAAGGATATTGCAAAATCCCCATTCCCACCCCACTCCAGGGGAAGGATACTGCAAAATCCCCATTCCCTCCCCACTCCTGGGGGAAGGATATTGCAAAATCTCCATTCCCTCCCCACTCTTGGGGGAAGGATATTGTAAAATCCCCATTCCCACCCCGCTCCTGGGGGAAGGATACTGTAAAATCCCCATTGCCTCGCCACTCCTGGGGGAAGGATATTGCAAAATCTCCATTCCCACCCCACTCCTGGGGGAAGGATATTGTAAAATCCCCATTCCCACCCCGCTCCTGGGGAAGGATACTGTAAAATCCCCATTCCCACCCCACTCCAGGGGAAGGATATTGCAAAATCTCCATTCCCACCCCGCTCCTGGGGGAAGGATACTGTAAAATCCCCATTCCCTCCCCACTCCAGGGGAAGGATACTGCAAAATCCCCATTCCCTCCCCACTCCAGGGGAAGGATACTGCAAAATCCCCATTCCCTCCCCACTCCTGGGGGAAGGATATTGCAAAATGTCCATTCCCATTACGCTCCTGAGGGAAGGATACTGCAAAATCTCCATTCCCTCCCCACTCCAGGGGAAGGATACTGCAAAATCCCCATTCCCTCCCCACTCCAGGGGAAGGATACTGCAAAATCCCCATTCCCGCCCCACTCTGGGGCCAGCCAGAGGTAGTATTTGCCGGTTTCTCCAAACTGCTCAAAATTTCCGCTACCGGTTCTCCAGAACCTGTCAGAACCTGCTGGATTTGACCCTTGGTATGGGGCCCCTATGATCGTGGGGCCCATGGGGCAAGCGCCCATCAGGCCCAGGCGTTAAGACAGCTCTGGTTTGGTGCCCAGTTCAAGGACTCCCCAGTTTCTTGCCGGATTCCTTAACCACTACCCCAAACTGCCTTCCGTGCTACCCCGTTTAACCAGTTCTCACCACTGGTTGTGTGCCCCAGGGGCAAGTTTTTTAAACCATGGTTTGTTTCTTTGTTTGCTTTCTGAGGTGGAACTTCCTGGCTCTTGTGTTAAGTGACCTGTGGGGGAACCCCAAAGGACATTATTAGTTCACCGATGACAAGCTGAAGAATGGTTTAAAATTGAAATAAAATTAAAAATCTATTAAAAATAAAATAAAATTGAAATAAAATTGAAATAAGCTAGGAATAAATTCTTTTCTTCTTCTTCTTCTTCCTGCAAAGATCACGTTCGCACAACACACTAGACCCGCAAGCTCGGTATGCACCATTTGCTAAGCCTGTTTTTACTCTTTTTTTTTTTTTTGCAGCTGAGCAATCCCAGCCTGTTGCTGACCCTTGCAAAAAAAAAGAGTTAATTAATTCCCCACCCTAATTTAGAACCCAACACAGTGACCCAATGTAGGGTTTATTTATTCAACAAACCCTTATTGTTTGACTAAGTGGCTAAGACGCTTGAGCTTGCCGATCAGGAAGGTCGGTGGTTCAAATCCCTAGCTATTTATGTTCCCCGGCCTGGACTGATGGGGTAGTATATTTTAAATTTTTTTAAAAAAACTTTCTTGATTTTTATGTATATTCGTTGTTTTTAACAGTCGCTTGGTCGACTGTCATTGTGAGCCGCCCTGAGTCCTTGGAGATAGGGCGGCATACAAATTTTATAAAATAAATAAATAGTACAGGTCTCCAGCCTGGGCAGGGAGCTTTATTTATCTTTATTTATTTATTTATCTTTATTCCCTCCCCACTCCTGGGGAAGGATATTGCAAAATCTCCATTCCCACTCCGCTCCTGAGGGAAGGATATTGCAAAATCTCCATTCCAACCCCACTCCAGGGGAAGGATACTGCAAAATCTTTATTCCCACCCCACTCCTGGGGGAAGGATATTGCAAAATCCCCATTCCAACCCCACTCCTGGGGGAAGGATATTACAAAATCTCCATTCCCTCCCCACTCCAGGGGAAGGATGCTGCAAAATCTCCATTTCCAAAGTCCCTTCCAGCTCTTTGTTACTTGCCTCTTGTCTTATTTTTCGCTCAGACTGTAAATTTGGACTCGTGCATTTCCATCCCGGATTGGGGTTCCCACAATTCGGGGGGGTGGGGGTTTCCTGGATTACGTGCGGACAATCCCGGCGACCCGCAACACGGATCTGAGCATCCTGACGTCCCCTCGCGGTGGGCAGCACCCACAGAGCCCTTGGGGTGGGGATGTCGATGAAACCCCCTCCCCCTTTCCTTGAAGACCTCTTTCCCCCTCACATCTGCAGCGTTCCCACCCCAGCAACTCGGCCTCGGCCCAGCGCATTCAGACAACCGAGTCGAGTCAAGTTTTGTCTCTTCTCCTCCGGGTTAACTGTTCGTGGAAATGGTCCTGGTTCGCCCGGGAAGCTGCTGAACGGAACCCGGCGCGCTTAAACCATGGTTGGCTTAACTGGATTTACAAAACACAACACAACACAACTGGCTCACCCACAATGTAAAAGCAGCTGTGCTAGGCCCAAAATGGCCCCTGCAACAAGCAGGAACCTCACACAGCCACAAAAAGCCCAAAAAACCCACAGTCTGCCTAGTGTGAACAAAGATATGTCTCGATAGTGAGGTGGGTGGCGTATATGTTTAATCAATAAATAAACACCCGAATACTTTTGCGTTGGCTGCTGATTGAAAATAAAGCAGAATTAACTCTTTCAAGACTGTTTCGGAGCCTCGCCAGGTGAATCGGAGCCTCCCACTCAAAATACTACCTCTTGAATGTCTTCGGCAACTTTTACCGACTCCTGTCCTGACCTGATGATAATTGCGGCCTACCTCACAGGGCCGTTGTCAATGTTGCAGATGCCCATCAGGCTAAACCACCGATAGGCGGGTTCTTGTGGGTTGTTTGAAAACTGGCTTAGGCGGGAAGCGAGAAAGAGGCTGCCGTGGTTTGTTCAACAAACTGGATTTAAAACAAAAAAAAAAATAAAGCTATAAGCTACCCAGAATTGCCTTATGAAAATGGGTGGCATGAACAATTTAATAAATAAATAAATATGTGCCAGGTATCAATGTTGCTATTCTGTGGTGGAGCTTTGCATCAGAAAAATGTATTATTTTTCTCTCTCTCTTTTTTTTTGCATACGAAAGCATCTTTTTAAAAACTTTCTATTTTACCTGAGCATCCTGTTCTCTGCTGCATTTTCCCTTGTCTGTTGCCATGGAGACAGCATCCTCTGGTCCATGCAACTGACATCAAAACTGGGGGATTCTGCAGAGTTGTTGGGTTTTTTTGACATTGCCAAGGGTGAGACCTTCTCCTTCAAGCTGCCCCCTTCCCCAGCCCCAGAGGTTCTGTGCCATCTGGAAACCATTCTATTCCACTCTATTCCCTTCCCTTCCTTCTCTTATTCTATTCTGTTCTGTTCTGTTCTGTTTTGTTCTGTTCCGTTCCATTCCCTTCCTTCTCCTATTCTATTCTATTCTATTCTATTCTATTCTATTCTACTCTACTCTACTCTACTCTACTCTACTCTACTCTACTCCACTCCACTCCACTCCACTCCACTCCACTCCACTCCACTCTACTCTACTCTACTCTACTCTACTCTACTCTACTCTACTCTTTCCCTTCCTTCCTTCTCTATTCTATTCTATTCTATTCTATTCTATTCTATTCTATTCTGTTCTGTTCTGTTCTGTTCTGTTCTGTTCCGTTCCGTTCCGTTCCGTTCCGTTCCGTTCCATTCCTTCTCCTATTCTATTCTATTCTATTCTATTCTATTCTATTCTATTCTATTCTATTCTACTCTACTCTACTCTACTCTACTCTACTCTACTCTACTCTACTCTACTCTACTCTACTCTACTCTATTCCCTTCCCTTCCTTCTCTTATTCTATTCTATTCTATTCTGTTCTGTTCTGTTCTGTTCCCTTCCTTCTCCTATTCTATTCTATTCTATTCTATTCTATTCTATTCTATTCTATTCTACTCTACTCTACTCTACTCTATTCCCTTCCCTTCCTTCTCTTATTCTATTCTATTCTATTCTATTCTATTCTATTCTGTTCTGTTCTGTTCTGTTCTGTTCTGTTCTGTTCTG